TGATCCAAGAAAGTGAATTATACACCAAGTGTAGCATGAATTTACCTGGTCTTGATCAAGAAGTTGGGGTAGGAGAGGGAACAGAGAGGGAGTCTTCTCATTATTCTTGCTCGCCACCTGTCACAAACAACTGTCTCAGGTCACTCAAAGAATCACCAGCTAAAAGGTACCAGTCAAAGCAGGTTTAGTATTAAAGGGAAAGCGTGACAAAATTTGTTTAAAGGTTTGTCCTTCTGCTTACTAGATGGTTAAAGCACACAAAGAAAAATTTACTAAAATCTAAAATCAATCAATCAAAATCTAAAACTTAAATGGAGGCTGGGGATGGAAAAAGGGTAAGAATGGGAAAGGATAAGGATAAAAAGGATGAGGGAAACCTACCTATTGAGTCACAAGGTTCAGAATGGACCCCTTTGCCAAACTTAGTCCCAGAAGTGACCAGTGGTTTAGGCCTAAAGGTTTAAACTGCACTTAACAGCACTTAATTGATAGCCTAATTCAAACAATTTAACAAAAGATTCTACAGAATTTACTACAAGCACAATTCTAACTCACAGGCCTAACTTACTAATCTAACATATTTAAGGTTATTCATATTCGTAGTAAATTTTCTATGGCATATTCACACTTGCACGCACACAGACCTAAAGGAATCTTGAAAAATTCAAAAATTCCCCTTGAGTTCAGCTCATGTTGGCTGCCTTTGCATCTTTTCAAGGGGCAAAGGGTTGAACCTCAATCAATGATATCATCCAAGGTCTGTCAGTGGCTCCAAGTATAGCAAATTTGAGAATTCACTGGTTCTGAGGGGCCCCACTCAGAAGGAGGCTGCTAATTGCAGCCCACTGTGGTCCTAGGGAGTTCATAGGGTCTCACTTAGGACTGCTGTTTATAGGGTTGCAAAAGAGCTGGCTTAAATCACAGTAATTTTCCATCCTGGCAGCAATTCAGGTCAGTAATTTCTCTGAAAGTTTGATAACAAAAACATTGTTCCACTTGGGTTATTCAGGCAAGAAAAATAATTTTCTGAGGTGCTTGTTAAAAAGCAACTGTTCATGAGACAGCCCAAGTTCCTGAGAACAGTATTTCTGATGAGCTCAAGAGGAGTTTAGCCCAGGTGTTATTTCCTTTTTCTTGCATAAAAGTTCATTTTGCCTTTGCTCCCTGACACTCACACACATCTCCTTGGGCAGACAGGAATCACACCTGATATTTACCAGCTGACCAACAATAAGGGGGATAGGAACAGAGACAGGGCCAGACTTGCCAGAGGTTTAGGAAAGGGGAGAACTATAGTAACCAATCTAGTAGCAAAAGGAGGCTTAAGAGGGGATATTTCAATCAAGTACAAGCAGACAAAACCACAAGCACTAGACAGGACTATGGGGTATCCCTCTGCACCTCCTCTGTGATATTAAATACTTGTGTTAAATGCCTGTACACCAACACGCAGCAGGGGAAACAAGCAGGAGGAGCGAGAGCTCTGTACGCAGCCACACGGCTTTGACCTCACTGCAGTTACAGAGATGTGATGGGACAGCTCCCACAGGGGAATGCTGCCATGAAGGGCTACACACTGCTTAGGAGAGGCAGACCAGGAAGGCACAGTGGTAGAGTTGCCCTCTTTGTGAGGCAACACTTGGAACTTGGTCTCAGGGTGGGTGATGAGTAAGTCAGGAGCCTATGGGTCAGGATAAAAAGGCAGACGAGTAAGGCTGACACTCTGAGTGTTTGCTCCAGGCTCCCTGACCGGGAGGACCAAGTGGGTTAGGCTTTCTACAGGTAATTACAGCATCCTCAAAGTCACAAGCCCTTGTTCATGTCAGGAGTTCAACCACCCTGACATCTACTGGAAAGCTACACAGCAAAGCACAAACAGGCCAGGGGGGTCTTGGAAAGCTCTGACGACAACTTCCTGCCACAGGTAGTGGAGGATCCCATGAGGAATGGTGTACTGTTCAATTCATAAACAAACAGGAAAGAAAAGCCTTGCTGGAGATGCAGCCTTGGCTGTAGTGGCCATGAGATTGTGGGGTTCAGTAACAGGTGAGGAGGAAGAGGGGCAGCAAGTAAGATTGCAACCAAGGACTTCAGATCAGCTAACTTTAGCCACTTCTGAGACCTTCTTGGAAGAATCCCATAGGAACAGGCCTTGCAGGGAAGGGGGGTCCAGTAGAGATGGATTCAAGGATCACTTCCTCTAGGCTCAAGAACAACACATCCTGATAAGCAAGAAATCAGGCAAAGGGAGAAACACACCCACTGGACAAAAAAAGAACTGCTGTCATTACTTATGCATACATGGGAAATATGCACTAGATGGAAGCAGGGTCAGGTCACTTGGACTATAGAGAGGTTGTCAGAGTAAGCAGAAATAAGGCAAGGAAAATCAAGGCCCATCTGGAATTAAATCTGGCCAAGGACATCAAGGAAAAGAAGGGCTTTTTCAAGTACATCAATAACAAAAGGAAACCAAAGGATAATATGGGACTATTACTAAATGGAGGAAGGTCCTTTGCTGAATGCCTTCTTTGTATCGGTCTT